CTCCTCCTCCCCCTCCTCCTCCTCCTCCTCCTCCTTCTTCTTCTTCTTCTTTGGTGGTAGCAGTAAGGGTAGAGAAAAGGGTACTTGTTATGCTAGTATCGTCAGATATTAGTGGTACCCCACCGATGTGGGAGTTGTGACTCTTGTTGGTGGGATTTTCAGAATAGAAGAATATTTGAAATTGTTTCGAAAACGATGTCCTTGTCAAATTTCTCATTCAAGTAGACATACTTACAACATGTTTTTGTTTGTTCGCCTTCCAGGTGGCCACAGAGCTCATCAAAGCCGGTGCTAAGGTGAACGTTCAAGAATGTAACGGCTTCACTCCCCTGATGATAGCTGTCAACAAGAGTTGTGTCCCCATGGCGGAGGCGCTGCTGGATGGGGGAGCTCTCGTCGACCTCACCAACCGGAACTGCCAATCAGCTCTTATGATGTGCGTGCGCAAGAACCAAGCGGAAATGGCTCGACTTCTGCTCAAGCGCGGGGCCAACGTGGATTTGCAAGACTACGACGGCCAGACTGTGTTGTGGAAAGTCGTCGTGGGCGGCTCGATGGAGATGTTGGACGTGCTGCTTGAGTTCGGAGCGAATGTGGATCTGTGCGACTCGGAGGGTGTGACTCCCGTCATGAGAACCGCTCTGGAGGAGGAAGTGGACAGTCTGAAGCGTGTGATTCAGGCCGGAGCTGACGTGGACGCCGTCTGTGAAGCCGGGGAGACGGCGCTTCTTAAAGTCATGGAGATTTGGAGGCAGGATAAGGAGTTTCCGTTAGAAATTATTCACACGCTTTTGGAAGCCGGCGCCAACCCGAATATCGTTCCTGACGACCGACTTTCGCCGCTTCATATTGCCGTAGAGAGAAACGACCAGCTTGCGGAGATGCTTCTATCATGCGGCGCGCTCAACATAAAACGATATTATTCTCTGCGCGGCTTCGCCGTCAAGCTGGTGTGCCCTCTGTACCTAGCCCTGTGGTATCTTCGGGACAATATCGCTGATCTGATGCTACGTATCGGCTGCTACAACCTGAGCTGCATGTCTTACGTCTGGAACGACATGGATCTCAAAGCGAGGTTGGAGGAGAAGAAGCAGAACGCCTGTCTCAGCATTGTTGAGCGAACATGGAAGTCGCCGCCGTTGTTATTCGAATCTGCGAGGAAAGTCGTCTCCAGAAAAATAGGCTATGGCGCCAAACGAAAGGAGAAAGTGGACGGTTTACCTCTGCCAGAGAAACTGAAACAAAACTTGCTTCTTGGATAAATAAAGGGGCTTCGAAAACAACAAAAGCAAAAACTATTGGTTCGTTAGAGCTCGATTCTGTGATCCCCATGGTGTGGATCAATTTTTACAGGCCATTCTAAATACGGTAGAAATTCTTCAAGACCCATTGTCAAAGAGAAAAGCGGTTATCTTAGACAGGTGGATATCTTGGACTTTTTTGTCAGTATGATTTACATACAAGAAAACCACGGGATGGAAGTGAATGTGGTCGTTTTTGCAAGTGATTGTTCTGTACAGGTGGCCGCCAGTGAAGGTTTGGCCGTATTTCAATCTAAATGTCGATGGTTATCAACCTGTCTGACCCTTCCCCCCTGTGACGTCGATGGGGGAATTAATTTGCACATCATCAATTAAATTGTATGTACATTGTAAGACAAAGTGACGCCCTGCAGAGCTTACGAAGGACTGTTGCCTGTCATTTTGAAGGATAATATCATTAGCCTTCCATGATGATTATGATGGAAATTATCAAACTTTGAAATGACATTTCCTTTGACTTCTATGAAATGATGTCAAGATGCTAGCCCAGGTAAGGCAAATGTGGAAAGTATCTGCCTGTAGCACCCTGATCCAGGTTGAGAAAGGCAGTGATGATGATGTTTGATGATGATGATGATGACATGTTTTTCATACATTCGCTTGGTATTTCTGTATTGTTTCTATATCAGGATAAATAGGTACATTCCAAACCCCCAAAACGTCGGGACTTTGAATTTACCAAAGTAAACCAGATTCCGTTTAACGACTGTCCCATAACAGTTGGGATAATTGTGTCAATATGTGTTTGCTAGACATAGCCTTTTACTTCAGCTAGTTCTAGTCTTTTTGTTATCATTGAAGAATACGGCGGGAATACTTGTGATGTCTACGACATAATATTTTTTTTTTTTGGCGGGGGTGGGGGGGGGGGGGGGGGTATTGATGCTGAAATCCCCACTGTGCAACACAATGACAATGACAATGACAATGACAATGATGACAATGACAATCTTTATTCATCTCGCAGGGAGAAATTTGTCTTGGTCGTTAACAATGGCAGTAGACGTTACAAAAGTTAGACTTAAAGGTGCACTCACGCAAACGCACAACAAGACGTTGATAACTTTAAAAAGGTGAAACCTGTCTAAACTCACATAAATATCACAAACGCGGAAAAGACTTTTTAAAATTCTACACTTATGGAAAAAGAGAAAATATGATATATCGCCAGTTTTCCCCTGTTGTTTCATTTAACTTCATTTTCATCTTGTCCGCTGGTGTCCTCTTTCGCTTGTCTCGTCATTCGTTTGATGTCGGTCTGTCTGACTTATAATGAAACGTAGTTCTTATCTATTCTGTTTCCTCAAGATTGCGTCTAATTTGACACTTAAAACAAATCTTATCTAACCTTATTTCGTCTTTCTATTACCTTACCGGTACTTTTGTTTTAAGAAAAAATTGCCTCACTTCTGATGTCATTTGGTCTCACCTGATTGCACCTTTTCGTATCTATGAAATTATCTTGTCTATTTTACATAAAATTTCGTTGTTGTTGTTGTTTTTCTTTTTAGTATAGTTACTTTTACGCTCCCATCGACACAGTTTATAGGCCTATTTCTCTTTTTTTAAATCGTACTCTCTATTGTCTTAAGTGTGGATGGTTGTTGGGTGCTCTAGTTTGGTTTGCTCCTTCTTTCCAATTAAAAACATAATTTATTTCATGGTCCTTATTTCTTTTCTTTATTTTCTTTATATCATGTTACGGTACTCTCTAGTAGGAAATTATCTAACTAATTTGTGTTATAGGTGGTGTAAAACTTTCTCTAAAACTAGAAACAAACAAACAAACCAAATAAAAAAACAAACAAACCATTAACCAACAACAACAAAAACGCGGTCAACTCGCATAGTATTATAAGTTCATTTTCAGAAGCAAAAAAAAAAGGGGGGGGGGGGGGGGACTGTTTACGTTTTACACAATTTTTACCACTTTAATGTCTTATTGTTCGTCTGAGTGAAAAGGAGCTCTTCTTTCCCTTGTTAGCTCTTTGCAGTTGTTGGACGTTGCTTGAGTTACTTCTCGGATTCAGGCCTTAAGGAAATAGATATATCACACTTATAGGTGAAGTTTTTACAATTTATAGGTATGAAATATAAGGAGTGTTATACTTAAAGAATATGGCATCTATAGAAAATTTACAAATTTGACCCTATAGTGTCAATTTTTGGTCAATATCTCCATACTGTGACTGCGAGAAGTAACTCATTTTGTCAGCACGCCTCACTTATTGTACAATTCTGCAGTAAACACTCTGTTCTAGATATTCTGCCTGTTTCTGTTGTTTTAGTTTTAGTTCCATGTCGTGTTGCTATGTCCTGCTCCCATCTAGTTGGTGTTTTCTTTGGAAGTGTGAGGAGGTATTTCTTGTGTTTTGGAATAAACTTCGATTGACTCACTGACTACGATGTATTTTGTTCAGTCTTTCGTAAATTCTTGTTTTTAAATGTAGGTGTTTAATGCCCCCATCGACACAACTTGAATTATTTAGCACCGTCTGGGCGACCTGGTGTCCTCTTTCGCTTGTCTCGTCATTCGTTTGATCTTTTATCTTGTCTATTTTACATAACATTTATGTTGTTGTTGTTGTTTTTCTTTCTAGTATAGTTACTTTTACGCTCCCGTCGACATTTTTCTATTTCTCTTTTTTAAAATCGTATTCTCTATTCTCTCTACGAAGGATACAGCATCTCAGCAGAAAGACCCCAGATACTCGATAAAAAGGTTCTCCGACTTGGAAATCAAACTTGGGTCTCTGGCGTGCGATAGTAAAGTGCCTGTAATCGCCACACCACAGAACAGCACTCCGCAACAACCGACTGAAAAGAAAGACAGAGATATGTTTTTATAGGCCCTTGAGTGCTTTTTTTCTGGCGCTGGCAACTGCATAAAAAGGTCATACGAGCGCGCGGGACACACTGAGCATTTTCATTTTGGTAGGGATTAATTGTGAATTTTGCGCTGGTGGCTACCGAGGCCTGAGAGACAGAATGTAAAAAAAGAAGCAGAGTCTACCAGTAGCATATTCTAACTACCCACTGAAAAAAAATAAGACAGATTGAAACAACATATTATTATGACCAAAAAACCCCCCCAGAAAAAATGGACCTAAACGTGGCTCCCTCCGAACATCCACTGAAAAGGGAAGACAGACAGAAACAAGCGGAGAAGAGAAGAAGTAGGGTCTAGCAGTGTCATTATCCAACCACCCATTAAGAAAAATGAGACCAATAGACAAAAACGACAGATCGAAAAAAATCAAAACACGCAGTAGGACCAAACAGCGGCGCCCTTTCTTCCATCCACTAAAAAAACAACAACAACAAACAGAGGGGACTCTCGTGGCCTAGAGGTTAAGGTGTTGGCCTCTCCTTCAAAGGTCCCGGGTTCGAATCCGGGTAGCGACCGAAACATTATGTTCTCTAAAGTTGGCTCCTTTCAACTCCTTACTCCTTCCCTGCTCTCTAGCAATGTTCTGTCGTCTGCTTTCGTTTCCACTTTCTGCCCCCACCCCCTCACCTCCTTTCTCCCCTCTTCTTGGCTCCTGACTATTTCTGCAGCCTTTCTACTGCTACTCATTGGCTCCTTCTTACTGCTGTTTTTCAGTCACACCCCTGATCTTCTGGTAGTAAAGATCTACACCTAGCTTTCTCGGACACGGGCGAAAAGTCTCGGAGGTCACGTGTGCAAGTTACGCTCGTTAAAGATCACTTGGTGGTTTAAAATCAATAAGAGTAGGCTTCGGACGGCTTCCGAGTAAAATTCAAATTTTTTTAACAACTGAAAAAGTTTAACGTGTCCCGCGCGCTCATATGACCTTATGCAGTTGCGAGCGCCGTAAAACACTTAACAAACAAAACAGACAAACAGAATATAGTAAAAGAAAAGAAGTAGGAACACTAAACTGTCAATGTCGCGCTCCACCCAACTACTGAAAAATAAGACACATAGAAACAACAGATGGAAAAAAGTAGGACCTACCTGTGGCGCTCTCCAACTGTATACGCTTCCCAAGTGGGAACTGAACTCCATAAACGCACGCACAACATCTGCGCGCTACCTCAGAACCAAACAAAGTTGTTGGACATTTTTTGTACAGTTTTAAGTTACTAAAACCATAAAGTCAGAAACCAAAATTAAATGTTCTATCTGCTCTATCAAAATTGTAAGATTATTCTGAGTCATTATCAAGCTATTCCAAGAACTGCATTCGAAAAAGCTTGACATGTTGAGAAACTCAAAAGTTTAGACGTCAAATTGATTGCTCAACACTAGGTAATGAGCATAATAATAATATAGGTGAGGCAGCGAGGTGGAATCAGGCTCTCGTCAAAATAATCAAAGTGAAGAAACTTGCATTTTTCCGCAGGTTTGTGAATTTTTATCAAATTTTTGTTTTTTGGCTCAACACCTTTCACGTCCATTAAAGAACTAATGTCTGTGTGGATTTTTTCTGATAAACGTTGAATAAAGACACAAAAAATGTAAATTATCAGTTACCACGGACTCTTAAGCTAAGGAAATAACTAATCTTTGGCGGCCATTTTCTCACTAATTTTACCTCTGAAAACAAGTGATCCCTACCTCCTTCATTCGCAAATATATCGACTTGTATTCAAGATAAATGGATATTTTTTTCATCCAAATAAAGACAAATGAACAAGCTTTAAGACAATACCAATAACTCTACATGCCCAATAATTGACGAGAGCGTGATTCCACCACGCTGCCTCAACTTAATCATTCTTGGAGACCGGCCGAGAACCGAACCATTAAATCGGTTGAATGATAATTGCGAACCTTTATTTCTTCAAATAAACCCAGAGAACCCAGAGAAATGAAACACTTTTGTAGTGCTCATCTCAATGAGATGAGTAAGTTAATCGAAATCCTAGGTACATGTATTTCACACATCACCAAGTGTCGCAAAGTCAAATGTGTGGCTCCCTTTGAAGTTTGGAAGGTTCGCAAAGTTAACCTAGCGGCATTCTTCGAAGTGATGAAGGTTCGTAAAGTTCATACAACCATTAAATCACAGAAGTCAGTAATTGCTGGTGATAAAGGAAACAGACACCTTTGGATAGGTTTTTTTTTCCGATGCAGATTAGAATTTTAACACATGGACGGACACACTATACATCTTTTAGTAGGTAGTTTTCGGTCATGTCTGTTAGGGCCACCAACTCAGGCTGAAAGGCTCACAACGTTCCGAGATACTCGATGCATGTGCTCATATTACTATTAATTCTCTCCACACAGGAATCAAACTCAGGTGTTCTGTACGCGACGGTGAATCGCCTCTTGCTACACCACACACTCTAGTTATTTACAACACTGAAAATAACTTATTTGTGTCACAATGTGGTGGAATCATCAGGCGCTCGTCGATTATTTTGGGACATATGAGATTTTTGAGGTCATCTTAAAGCCTGTTCATTTTCATTCCTGTTGGTGGAAAAAATATCCATCTTTGTTGAATAGAAGTCAAAAATGTTTGCGATTGAAAGAGGTCAAGGTCGCCTGGTTTCAGATGTAAAATTACAGAGAAATGGCCGCCAAAGTTTGGTAACTTCCGTAGCCTGAGAGTCCTTGGAAACTTAAAATCTACATCTTTTGTGCCTTTAATCAATGTTTTTCAGTAACATCAACACCAAAATGTGTTTCAGATGGACGTAAAAGGTAATGCGCCAAAAAAAAGAGAAAATTAGAAAGCAATATTGCCCATTAGTAAAAAAAAAATAAAAAAATATGCCGATTTCCGTGATTCCATTATTTTGACGAGAGCCTGGTTTCACCACGATGTCTCACATTTTTATTTATCATTTTAGTGAACTGAAACTCAAATACATCTGGGTTATATAAGCGCCAACGTTACTTGAGATTAACTTACGCAGAAAAAGGAAGAGAGATAAGGACGGTATTAAGTTTGATAGGAAAAAAAGGATCAAGCTGTACCAGAGTTTCCGCCTACCACCCACACACAGTAAAGTTCATGTTTTTTTTGTTTTTTTGTTTTGTAAAGTGTTTTACGGCGCTCGCAACATGTATTTACACCTACCAAACAGCCACAAAGAAACAACAGAGAAATGGACTGTAGTGTAAGGGCTAGGCCCCTCGACATTGCATGTAGAAGGCGCTAGTTTGATTTTCAGGAGGGACGTTTTTCTTTTGAGTACATGTATCTCAATCAGAACATGTCTGCTGGGACGCATCCCTCCCAGCCCAAGCTCGCCCCAACAGACATGGTCAAATAAGGCCATACCTCCTCAATAATCTGTATAGTGTCGACTAAAAAAAAAAATTAATGGGTTTGGGGGGGGGGGGGGGGGA